AGGTGTGGAGCGGCCCCATCCCTTCTCTGGTCCAGCTCGGAGGAGGGAGCCGCTCACACTTTGGCTAAACTGCCACTGTGGCCCATCGTCTTCCCTAATCAGGTCCCTCCTGTCACCGTGACCACCTGCTTGGTGGCTGATGTTTGCTGGAAAGGCCAGCTTGTGTGTATGTGTGTATATATGTGCACGTGTGTGTGCGTAGATATACTTGCATGAATGTGTGTATGTGTATATGTGTGTGCACGCACGTGTGTGCGTAGAGGTATGTGTATGCGTGTGTGTGTGTGTGTGTGCCCACCTGTGGGTGGTCCCACTCTTCTTGTGCTTCACAAACGGCACCGCCACTGCCCCCAGTGTTAATGGAAAAGCCCAGAAACCTCCTGGCCCCCCCAGACCCCCAGGCCTACATTATGATGCTCGAGGTCTTTCCATGTCGCGTAGGGTGTGGCACCCCGGGTCCGAGATTCCAAATGACACAGACGTCGCGTGTCCAGTGGGGAAAGAATGGGCGTGGGGAGGAAGCCAGTCAGATCTGAGAAATGGCCGTGGAAAGCCGCGGTGGCCAAGTGACCACAGCAGGCTGTTAGGGATGAGGAGACTTGTGTAAATTCCCGGCTGGACACCCACGGAGGGGCGCAGATACACCTTGGCCAGATGCATTCCCTCTAAACTGGTTTGGACCGATGCCTGTGCTTAGTGGCCACGTCTGTAAGAGCAGGTGCCTGGGATCTATGCCAGGCCATCATCCGCAGTGGCCAGAAGTCCGGGCCCCCTCACATGCTGGGGCAGAGGACAGGAGCCACATTAGGTGAGGCACAGAACCTGTCCCAGAACATGTCTCTGGCTGAGCTGACCTGGGGGGGGGGGGTCACTGAAGGGCTTGGGGGGGGCAGGGAGGCAGGCCTGGAGCCAGCTGGAACTGGGAGAAGTCCCCGAGGTGCAGGAAGCAGGTACAGTGAAGTAGAACAGAACGGTGGCCAGACCCGGTAGTCAGGGACATAGGGCTCTCCCGGGGGCAGCACTCAGCCTGCGGGGATGGAGACCGTGGCCCATGCTTGGCCCCCCAGAGGGTCAGTGAACGTGTTCTCTTCTCAGCCTCCCTGAGCCGGCTGCCCTCAGAGGTGGCCCCATCACCCCACCTTTCTCTCTTCCTCCTCCTTTCTGGAATCCCGTCCCCGATAAACTAGCTGCCCCCAATCCTTGTCTTGGGCTCAGGACCACAGATGATTCACTGGCCCTTGAGGGGGACAGTGGGGTGTGTCAGGGAAAGTGTTTCCTCTTGAAAATGGGCTTGGGGTCCTGCATGAGGCTGTGTGTGTGCACGTGTGTATGTGGAGTAAGTGGGTGCATGCTTATGGAGTGTGTGTGCACACGTGTACGTGTGTGTGTGTGTTTCCCCGAGGTGACCTCCGGTCACTGTCCAGCTGCAGGGCTCCGGCCTGCCCGAATGGGAAGTGGCAGGTGAATCCTGCCCACCAACCCCCCTCGCCTCCCTCTGTTTAGGTTTCTGGGTTGCAAGGTGTTCCCAGGGGCATGTATGACGGTCCTGTGTATGAGGTGCCAGCCACGCCCAAATATGCAACCCCTGCCCCGTCTGCCAAGTCCTCGCCCTCCAAACACCAGCCCCCGCCCATCAGAAACCTCCACCAGTCCAACTTCAGTTTATCAGGTAAGAGGCTCCCCGCTTCCCAGGGGCCCACACTCCTGCTGAAACAGCCCTGTCGGGGGCTAGATGAGGAAGCAGGGAGCGGGCGAGGGAACCCTTCCCCTTCCCTCCCGGGGTGCCAGAGCGGGCTGGGGGAGGTCAGAAAGCAGAGGGGGTCTGCCCCCAAATTGGCCCTGAGCTCAGAGCTCATCCTGAAGCAGAAGCTTACCCTGGAAGCTGAACGCGTCCCTCAGACCCAGTAGACGCTACAATGTCATCAGCTCGCCACGTGCGGGCAGACACACACACGCTGGGAACATCGAACTGGAATCTTGTCCCCCAGAGTATCTGAGGCGTTAGCGTGTGTTACACACGGGGCTGCGTCCTAGGAGTATGGTGAGGAGTTGGGCACAGCTGGGCAGCCCCCAGTCTGGTCCAGGGGTCAGCAGACTTCTTCTTAAAGGACCAGACAGTAAACATTCGAGGTTTTGTGAGCCGAGGGGCAAAGTTTAGGATAGTCTATTAAGCAGCCATTTCAAATGCAACCATTGAACAGTGTAAAAAAAATAAATAAAACAACCATACAAAACTATTCTTCGCTCCTGAACAATACAAAAGCAGGTGGTGGCCGTTTGTCCATGGTCTGTAGTTGGCAGACTGTGGTCTAACAGGAGGGAAGGACAGTTAAACAGAAAAGCTGATATGCTCAGCAAGCGAGTCGAAGGGGCCGAGAGAAAGATGAACATCGGTTTCAACCGTGGGGGTGACAACCTGCCATCCATCCAAGGAGTGTCTGTCTCAGTGATTACGCAATGGGGGACAGAAGTTGGGCGGGGTCCCTAGTCCAGCTCATCTCACTTTCTGTGAGCCTTCATGCAAGAGCTTCTCACACGCTGAGTGCGGTTCCGGTCTTTAAAGACAACTAGTATTGTTTCCACAAATGAACCGGAGACACAGCTCAAATAGCTTCTCTGATGCTCAGTCAACAGAATTAGGGAGTGGACGCAATGCCAGGACAAGCCACTGGGTGGGGCTACGTGGAGTCTGCAAACCGGACCTCTCTTCGAAAGTTGTGCAATTCACAATTGCCGCCGAATACAGAGGGAAAATCCCTCCCTTTCAGAACTAGCAAAACAACGAAACGAAAAGTCTGGTGGAAGGGCCCCAAGGCCACCAGTGCCCCGGGTCGGCAGAGTCCTCTCCGAGACCCACAGAACTGCCCCGGCCGGCCTCGTGGCAGGTCGACGTGTGATTTCATTTGCTATCAACACCATAGGTGCTCTCGGACATCAGGAATGACTTCGCAGATGCCTTTTAAATAATCTGCGTGATGCTACTTTGTAGAGATGTGGCATGATTTCCTGCATGAGTGTCCTTTTGTCCAACAGGTGTTTTTGAAGTAGCTGACAGGTAACCAGCAGGGTGGAGATGATTATGAGGGAAACTGGTGTTGAGCACTCCATCCGATTTCTGAATCTGGGACAAAAGGAAGTGAGGCCAAGGGAGGTTGGGTCTGATTCCAAATTACCTGGGTTCCAGACATGACTTGTACTGGAACCTGTCTCCTGACTGGACCCCAGGGCCCTCTCATGCCATCCCTCCTTTCAGCATTGTCTGTCCGTCACTAGTAATTCACTGAATACGTATTTATTGAGCATCAGGCACTGGGCTTGGTGCTGGAACGTTAAATCTTTAACTGCAAGGGAATGCATAAAATTGGAACGGTCGGCTTTGCAGATTTAAAACAAAACCTGATGCCCCTTCTCCATGGAGGTCTGCCCATTGCAAATCAGGTGGATAAATCCAGCTCTAAGTAGTTCACACACATAAATGCACATGCGTCCAGGGGCGCCTGGGTGGCTCAGTTGGTTAAGCGTCCGACTCCGGCTCAGGTCATGATCTCCCAGCTTGTGGGTTCAAGCCCCGCGTCGGGCTCCGTGCTGACAGCTCGGAGCCTGGAGCCTGCTTTGGATTCCGTGTCTCCCTCTCTCTGCCCCTCCCCCACTCATGCTCTGTCTCTCTCACTCTCAAAAATGAATAACTGTTAAAAAAATTTCTTTTGAGGGGCGCCTGGGTGGCGCAGTCGGTTAAGCGTCCGACTTCAGCCAGGTCACAATCTCGCGGTCCGTGAGTTCAAGCCCCGCGTCAGGCTCTGGGCTGATGGCTCGGAGCCTGGAGCCTGTTTCCGATTCTGTGTCTCCCTCTCTCTCTGCCCCTCCCCCCGTTCATGCCCTGTCTCTCTCTGTCCTAAAAATAAATAAACGTTGAAAAAAAAAATTTTTTTTTTTAAATTTCTTTTGAAAATGCACATGCATCCACTCCCATGCATGTCGTACATAAAATGCGTTTGACGTATCGGGCACTGCTGTGTGCTGCTCTGACTCCTGTAGAAGCTGGAGCTTTGGGGACCAACCAGTTGGGGCTGGAATCCCGGCTTACCCGTCCTCCAACTTTGCCCCCCAAGATGCATGACCTGAGCCTCAAATTCCTCATCTAGAAAGTTGGGGTAGCCACCCCCCCACACTTCACAGTATCGTTCGTTGTATACCCTAAGTGCAAGCACATATGTTAAAGCACCAAGTGTGTGCCTGCACACAGTAGGCACTCAGTAAGTGCTTGCCCACCTGTCTCAAGAGCACGAAGCCAGGCAAGAAATAGCACAAGGTGCTCAGAGGGTGCAAGAGGGTGACCCCAGGGCCGGAGGGGGCACAGAGGAGAGGGCAGTGAACCCCGTGGAGGTTGGGAGCCTTCCCAGAGGTGAGCCTGGACTGAGTCCCAGAGGGTCGAGCGGATGGAGGGATGTCACAATGAGGGCTCAGCATCCCAGCTCTCAGGAGCGGCCCTGGGAACCGGTCTGGAGCGGTTGGCTCTGTCTCTTTCAGGTGCCCAGATAGATGACAACAACCCCAGGCGCACCGGCCACCGCATCGTGGCGCCCCCTGGTGGCCGCTCCAACATCACCAGCCTCGGTTGAAGGCGGACGAGTGGATGAGCCAGTGAAGCGTTCCAGGAATACTGTCAATCCCTTTCCCCGCCAGGGGTTGGGAAACCCGCGGTTTTATTTGGTACTGATGGGGGGAAAATTGAATGACGTTCTTTCCTCTTTTGTTTAGGAAGAAGTGGTATTAGTGTGGTGTGTTTGCTCGGAAACTCCTTGCCCCACAGTTGTGTGTTCATGCTGACTCCACCTCAGATCATGGGTCTCCATTGCCCTCCTTAGTGAACCCAGGTTCTAGCATCGTCTTGTACCGTCCCTTCCGCTTCTGACTCCACGGGCTCCATGATTCTCTGGGTGGTTCCTTTGCACCCTCGTAGCTGTTCTAGGATAGTTGATGCATGTTACTAAATTATGTATGCAAGTCTGTGAGTGCGTCTGACGGAACATCACCGAGGACCGATGTAGACACAATGCCCAGACCTCAGGCCTCCAGGGGCCCTTCCAAACTCTTCACACGGAGATGCTTACTCGTCCCCACCCCAAGTCCGCACTAGAAAGAAGCCTGCCCCACCCCTCCCCTCCCCCACCCCATCCCCATTGAGACCTTCTATGAATTCTCAGAGGGGCAGGGGAACCTTCCAGTGCTTTCAGAGAAACATCATCCACGTCCTGTGTCAGAAACTCCGGTCTCCGTGGCACTTGTGACTCGCCATGACGTCTTTCTGGTCTGTGTGTGTCCTTCCAGCCAGCTCCGACTTCAGGCCTAGCCAGGTTCACACTCAGAAAGGGGTCTCCCCACCCCCATCAGGGCTGATGACGGTGGGGCGACGGCTGCTCCCGGTTGCCCCGGTCCTGGTCCCTTCGAGGTGGTTGACGGGGCAGTCAGATTTTTAAAGTTTTGTACAAAGTTTTCCTTTGTAATCACCCCCATTTTTACTTAACAACTGACTTATTGTGGCTCTTATTTCTGAATTCAAAGCTTGTGAAAAAAATAAAGAAAATAAACAGCCCGTTGGCCCCACTGGTGTGTTTTCATTGAAGGGTGACTGTTCATTTGGGTGCAAATGCCCCAGTGGTCCCTCCTCGTGATGACTGGAGTGTGGGTTGCTTCCCAGGACTCGCTCCTGTAGACACCGAGGGAGCAGAGGAGGGAAGAGAGGGAGCCAGTCACGAGGTGTGGAGGGTTGGGCTCAGATCCTGAGGCCGTGGTGGGTGGCTTCTGTGACACGGGCTGAGAGCACACGTCCGTTGTCTCCAAGCCTCCTTGGTGCCCTCTCTTCATATAGGTTGTGGGTCTGCCTCAGACTGGGAGTTCCAACCTCGTAAACATCACGTTTCTTCACTCCGGGTCCCATGAGCGGATGCACATTCTTGAGAAGGAAACAGGCAAATTGCTTGTTCCAATTTGCCTTTAGTCGTAGTGACAGTGGTGGTGACAATTGATGAGAGTGATGGTGGTGGTGACGATGCAGACAGTATCTGTGTGGTGCTATGCCCAGAATTCATGATCCCCAAAGACCACCAGGGAGCCAAGTCCGATGCAAAAGCAAAAGAGCCTTTATTTGAGCTAGCTCGAGCTCAATCCCCTACCTGCACTGACGCAGCGGTGAGATGCCGGGAGAGAGAGCGAGTTTCAAAAGCACAAAGGTTTTATAGGGATCATGGCCTTAGCCGATTGGCTGGAGAAGGGTCGTGGCCTCAGCCGATTGGCTGGGGAAGGGTCGTGGCCTCAGCCGACTGGCTGGGGAAGGCTAGAACAATGGCTGCCGAGGTGTGGTCCCACATCAGCAATTATCAGCGTCACCTGGAACTTGTTAAAAATGCAAATGTTGGGCCTGGTGGTCACAGACCCACTGAGTCAGAAACTCTGGGGGTGGGGCTCAGCAACCTGTGTTTGAACAAGTCTTCCAGGAGATTCTGATGCACCTGAAGTTTAAGAACCACTGGGTCTGAGGGTCTCTAACATGTTTGGCCTCAGTGTATACAGAACGTTTCTCACTGGTCACCTATTAACCATTGGCTGTCAGCCTTGCCGTGCTATATAAATACCTAGCATCAAACACCATCCCCAGAAACTCTGATTTAATTGGTTTGGGGAGGGGTAAAATGCTCCCAGGTCATTCTAAGCCTGGACAGGGTTGAGGGCTCCTGCCTCTGGCCCCTACCTGAGAGAAGCCCTCCCTCTTCTACTCACGCTTTCCACGCCTCTCACACTCCCCTTCCTCCCACCTCAGACTTCGGAAGAATGCATCAATCGGTAAGTTACTTAAGGGGAGGAGGCGTGTTCTGAGGTTTGAGCAGGAACCAATTTCTGCGGCCATGTCGGGGACATAGTCTCTAGTCGGCCGGCCTAGGTCTGCTCTTTCGTGTGGCACTGGCCACATGTTGGGTACTCTGTGAGGTAGGCTCTATTACTATCCCCCTTTCACAGATGAGTCCCAGAGGGTTCAGTGACATGTCCAAGGTCACACGGGGAGGAAGAGGCAGAGCCAGGATTCAAATCCAGGACCCACGCGGTTTGGCTCAAAGTACAAAGCTCCTTGCTCCTAACCTCTAACCCTTATTACCGTTCAAGGCAGGATGCCTTTGATGGTCCTGCATCTACTTACTGGTTTTAGTGTATTCTCCCTCTGCCCCCAAGGTCTGTTGGACCTTGGTTAAGGTCCCACATGGTGTTGGCTCGCAGCCTGCCGTGGACTTTCTTGAAACAAGGCTACATAACGGAAGGTCAAGAATGGAGGGTAAGGCCTTTTGACGTTTGGCCTCGGCTCATTCAGACTATTAAAGGGCAGCAAAGAAACTTCCAGATAAGTAAAGCTACTCGTCCCACTCTCCGGAGAGCACTTCGTCTCCGGCATCCATCACCCCCCGCCCCAGCTCACCCAGAAACGCAAGCAGAAGTCTTCTCTCTAAGGCCGACCCCGGAGGGGCTGCTGTCCAGCTGTGTAACCGGCTGAGGTTCCCCACCACCCAATGTCCCACACAACGTTCCCCAGCACGTCCGAGCGGCAGTCACGGGTCCGGGCGGTGCGAGACAGACAAGCCTTAAGTCTTGGAGGCTGTGCTGGAACATTCCTTGTGAGGCACATGCTTCCCTTTCGTGCTCCCCTTTGCCACGTCATCGCCTAGCCCCGGGCTCCGGGAATTAGGATGCGGACATCTTGGAGGGGGGATTATTCTGCTGCCCTGTCTTCTAAGTCTCTTTCCAGAAATTTTGTTTTATCTTGCCACGTTCAGGTATACAGTCCATCGTTCGCTAATCCTTGTGTCTAAGGAAAAGGAGGGCCCAAGACTCACATTTTCCCATATGATATCCCATTGAGCCGGCACCATTAATGGAAAAGACTATCCCTTCTCTCATTAAGCTGCAGCGGTGGCTTTCTTGTGAATCAGGTGACCGTAGTGTGTGGGTCTTCTGACGCAGTGGTCCCGAGGTGGCACGGCTAAATGTGGAGCACGGGGCTGGGCTGGGAGCCCCAGTCTGCAGTGCTTGCTAATTTCCACTGTAGCCAGTTTCAAAGTACCAACGTAAAGCCACCAAGCTGGCAACTCCTAAAATTTAAGCGGGCTCTGGGTCCCATAAGGGCTGGCCTAGCCCCGCTACCTCGGCTGGTCTATTTTTGCACCCACGCTGCACACGGACTGTAAAAAGTGAGACAGAACGGCGAAGGTCTCCTCATACCCATTTGCCCCCTGCCCGTTAAGCCCCAGCCATTTTCCGACATCCCCAGCACTGCCTAACGCGTTCTGGCCCCCGAGTTTGCTTGGCCGCTTTGGTTAGTGCGCGTGGACCGGAGAAGGCTGCTCCCCCAGCCCGAGTGTCAGATCTCCGCACCCCCCCCCGGGGGCTGGTCTCTGGACCAAAGTTCATGTGGTCGTGACTCTCTGTGGCACAAAGCGTGAGCCCTGATGATGCGCATTTGCAGGGGCAGATCTGCATCTGACCGCTTTGCCTGTATCTCAACTGGTTCCAAATGCGGATGGGAAAGAAAGGGATGCTATTTATTACCCTCCCCATCCCAGCAGCAAAATACACAGTGCTAAGGGCCTCAGAGGAGCGTCCAGTCTCGTCAGAGGGGTGCAGGGAAGGCTCTTAAAGACATAAGTCCTGCTGTTGGGATGTGGATGATGATTACAGACTCGGGAGGCAAAGGGGGATGGGAGGTGGGTAGAGCTGTTCCGGGTGGCAGCAGCAAAGTCCTGTGCAAAAGCCCAGTGGCAGGCAGGGGCGGGCACGTATGAGTCCATGAGAGGAGACAGGCTGCGTGGCTGAGACCGGACCTCGCAGGGTTCCGTGGTCCTTGTTAAAGATTTCCTTTTTCTCCTTAGAGCAAAGAATACCGCGGAAGCTCGTGAGTCAGATGTGCGTTTTTGGAACGTGTGGACCAGGAGGCTGGGGCAGGGCAGTTAGGAGTCATCTGTGGCAGCGTCTAGGTCAGCAGCCAAGGTAAGGACAGGACAGACACCAGGCTGGCCAGAGAGGTGCTCGGAGCATCTACGGCCTTTCTCCTCACAGCTGAGCTCAGACCAGAGGGTAGGTGTGTGTCAAAGAAGGAATCTACGGTCTTCTCATTGGATCGTCACTCATCGTCCCCACCAGCGCCACCTCCTATCTCTGTAACAACCCACAGCCCATAATGCACATGGGGACGGGAACCCAGTGGAGGAGGGGGATCGCGGTGTGTCCTCGGTCTTCCCTGCACGGAGCGTGTGCTGTGTGTTTGCACAGCCCGGCCCCGGGCGTCCCCAGAGCTGGAGCTGGCAGAGTCGGTCTGCGATGGGATGAAAACAGAGAGTCCACAGCCTTTCCGGAATCACGGGCCCCTAACTGTGCCAAGCACAGTAGTGGGGCAGCAGGGCCGAGGAAGAGCCCAGAAGCACTGGCATGTGACACAGTCCCTTGGGCCGAGGAGGCTAAGCTCGTGAAGCAGAATAACTTTCATGCAAGGTCTGCGGAAGCTGAGATGGCCTTCGATCTTTCAGAGATCCCGGTGCTGCTGGGGGGGGGGGGGGGGGGGCGGGGGGTCTGGATTTAC